TGAAACGTCGCCTGTACTGAATAAAGAAGTTGTATATCCATAAAAGTAATCCTCATTCTTCACCCGAATTGTCAGTTTTCGCTAATTTTTACAGCCAGGTAATCAAGCGTATGTTGTGAATTTTCAATTTCACACGTGCAACTTGCACACCTGGCTGTTCTACCAGCAAGTGGTCCTCCCCCGTAAAAGTAGCGAAAAGTGACAACAAAATAATGATCGTTCGTTAAACAACTGTTTTTATTCGGGTGTCCAAAATTATGACATATCATCAGTTGGTCTGTTGATTTCATGTGACTGTGCAAACTTTGGTTTTGTTGCAATTATGAGATTTTGTAAATTCATTGCAAAGTCGACGGTCTTCTCTGATTTCTGTTATTTATTTTATGGGTTCCTATTTCATTAAGAGGTAACAGGCAGGGGATTAGCGGTGCACTCAACCAGATGGTTTGTTTTAACCTGTCTGACTATTGGTATCCTCCCATTTATCAGACATCCCAATAGTCAGACATGGTAAAACAACAAACCATCTGGTTGAGTGCACCGCTATTCCCCTGTCTGTTACCTCTTAATGAAATAGGAACCCATAAAATAAATAACAGAAATCGGAAGACTTTTTATATCATATTGCATAGTCAAGCGGTTACACACACCAGAAAGTGTCGCTGTGTTCTTTTGTGAAAGTAGTTTATGATTCTGCTTTTAGTACATTTCAAGTTCGTCTGCTTCCTTCCACATTCCGCCATATAGCTGGGATATTGCTGAGTGCGGCGTAAAACTAAACTCACTCCTTCCTTCATAACGGTGACAGCAGTGGCTGATGGAGATATGTTCAATTTTTGTGTTCTCCACGTACCACAAAACCACCCACCACTACTGCTACTACTACTACTTGCACTACTACTCCACTATTTCTACTATCGCTACCGCGAAAACTAACAACTTTGTTGATTGCAAAGAGATTAATCTAGAAAAAAAAGATCCTGGCGTGCTTTCTATTTACAGAAACATCTGCTCTAGTTGAATATGCTGCATAAATCATGTGTTTATTGTGGTGCGCTTGTGTAATGTGACTGAATTTACTGCTATGTTCATTCAAACAACAAAGAAATCGGTGGCTGATAGAAATATATGTACAATTATCGTGTCCACCACGTACCAACCACCATCACCACTGCTACTGTTGCTACGCTGCCATATAGCTGGAATATTGCTGAGTGCGGCGTAAAACTAAACTCACTCACTCACTACTGTTGCTATTGCTGCTACTACTGCTATTGCTATTGCTACTACTACTGTGGCTAACCGCCTCCGTGGTGTAGTGGTTAGAGCGTCCGCCCGGAGAGCGGAAGGTCGCGGGTTCGATCCCCGACCGCGTCATACCAAAAGACGTTAAAATATGGTACTTGTTGGTCCCTGCCTGGCGTTCGGCATTAATGGGTACAACAAGGACTGGTCGGCTCGGAGTCAGTATAATGTGTCTGAGTGGGGTATTCATGCTTCACTGCGGCATGGTATCTCAGTGGGCTAGCACTATAAAACCAGCTTCAGTCTGGGCTAGTACAAGCAGCCGCACATACACGCATGCACGTCGTCATATGAGCGAAATATTCTCAAGCACGACGTTAAACCCAATTTCACCTCACTACTGTAGCTGCTACTACTACAGCTATTGCTACTACCTACTACTTCCACTACTTCTACTACTGCTGTTGCTGTTGCTGCAATACGACTTGGTTGATTTGCAAAGCGATTAATCTAGAAACAAGATCTTTGTACACAAAGGCCTGCTCAAATTAAATATGACCCGTGAAGGTCCGGGTTAGAATATTAATCTTCAGTAAACCATGCTTGTCGTAAGAGGTGACTAACGGGATTGGGTGGTCAGGCTCGCTGGCTTGGTTGACACGTCATCGGTTCCCAGTTGCGCAGACCGATGCTCATGCTGTTGATCACTGGATTGCCTGGTTCACTCGATTATTTAGACCGCCGCCATATAGCTGGAATATTGCTGAGTGCGGCGTAAAACTAAACTCACTCACTCACTCAAGTTAAATATGCTGCCTGTATAAATCATCACCTGTTTATTGTGGTGCGCTTGTGTAAAATGTGACTGAATTTTACTGCTATGTTCATTCAAACAACAATGAAATCGGTGGCTGATAGAAATATATGTACAGTTATCGTGTCCACCACGTACCACACAACCACCATCACCACTGCTACTGTTGCTACGCTGCCATATAGCTGGAATATTGCTGAGTGCGGCGTAAAATTAAACTCACTCGCTCACTACTGTTGCTATTGCTACTACTACTACTACTGTGGCTAACCGCCTCCGTGGTGTAGTGGTTAGAGCGTCCGCCCGGAGAGCGGAAGGTCGCGGGTTCGATCCCCGACCGCGTCATACCAAAAGACGTTAAAATATGGTACTTGTTGGTCCCTGCCTGGCGCTCGGCATTAATGGGTACAACAAGGACTGGTCGGCTCGGAGTCAGTATAATGTGTCTGAGTGGGGTATTCATGCTTCACTGCGGCATGGTATCTCAGTGGGCTAGCACTATAAAACCAGCTTAAATCTGGGCTAGTACAAGCAGCCGCACATACACATACACACGCATGCACGTCGTCATGTGAGCGAAATATTTTCAAGCACGACGTTAAACCCAATTTCACCTCACTACTGTAGCTGCTACTACTACAGCTATTGCTACTACTACTTCCACTACTTCTACTACTGCTGTTGCTGTTGCTGCAATACGACTTGGTTGATTTGCAAAGCGATTAATCTAGAAAACAAGATCTGTGTACACAAAGGCCTGCTCAAGTTAAATATGACCCGTGAAGGTCCGGGTTAGAATATTAATCTTCAGTAAACCATGCTTGTCGTAAGAGGTGACTAACGGGATTGGGTGGTCAGGCTCGCTGGCTTGGTTGACACGTCATCGGTTCCCAATTGCGCAGACCGATGCTCATGCTGTTGATCACTGGATTGCCTGGTTCACTCGATTATTTACAGACCGCCGCCATATAGCTGGAATATTGCTGAGTGCGGCGTAAAACTAAACTCACTCACTCACTCAAGTTAAATATGCTGCCTGTATAAATCATCACCTGTTTATTGTGGTGCGCTTGTGTAAAATGTGACTGAATTTACGCATACTCAGATACAGTTATACATCAGCGGCCTTTCGTTAGCTCAAATGCTTCTAAAATGGAAATAAAATCATAATGTAATTCACATTTCTGGAAGTTACAGCTATTACACAACTTCATCTTTGCTTCAGAAAATATTTCCTAAATTGTTACTGTCAGTACCTCTTGTTCAAAACGAAACCTGTTTTCACAGCAATACAAAAACTCGTTGCACTCCTGTTCAGTTTAATTTATCAACTACAGTCTCGGGCCATCTTTCAAATTGATGCTAGAACACCGTCGATACATTTCTTGCTTTGGAAATTTCCCCCATATCGAGCTGACGAGCTGTGAAATAAATTCAATATTGTTCAAGCCTGTGTTTAACCCTTCCCGGATAGCATTCCACAATATTCACATTTCATAATGTCACCCAACACACAAAAATCAAGATCTGTGTCGTCCTAAAATATCCAGGCAAATAAACACGCAAATCTGCTCAAGGTATGTATTTCCTTCTGTATTTGCGTTTCTTTCAATGGTGTAAAATTCGGATTTGGGTCCTGTGTAATGGGAGGGCGTAGTTTGATTTCTTCACAGAATTTTATAGTGCACGTTTGTCTGCTGATCCTTGTGAAGCATGTCAAACCTCGTGACGAAACAAGGCATTCCACATTTTGTTAATAGACAATCCAAGGATGTTGAACAATCAATGCCAGTTTTCATTTTGATTCTCAAACTAGCATCACCAGTCAAGCCACAAAGAGAAGCAGGTGAAATGGCAAAGATCTTTCCCTGCAAAGGTGAGTGTTGAGTTACTGGTATTCACAGGGTCATGTAGTTTTCAGATGTCCTGCATAATTACAGCGGGTTACAGTGTGTTACAGTGTGACTTGTTATGTGCACACAAACACAGTATCAACATGGAAAAAGTATCCGGCTGCCCTGCTGTGGCGAAACTGTGCCCAGATGATTCTAAACAGCCACTCCCAATGTTGATCAACCAAATCTTTTAAGGCATGTATGGTTTCCATGACAACAACGTACATTTTGTAATTGTCCTCCAATGTATGCAGGAAATGTGGTACGCTAGTATGAAGTGTGGTCTCACATATCTTCCTCCCAATTTTGCACCTACTTGAATTGCATATGACAACGCTTTCACCTTTGTGACACCAAATAATATGCTTTCAAGGTTGAGCTGAAGTAAGTAGTATCCTAATATTGCAACAAATTGAAATCTATGCCATGCCAGGTAAACCTGTGCCAAATCCAAATCCTGCTCTACAAAAGAAGGCTGACTGATAGCCATTTATGTGGTATTAAAACCATGCTTCAGAGAAGACTGATAGCCATTTATGTGGCACTAAGGCCATGCTTCAGAGAAGACTGATAGCCATTTATGTGGCACTAAGGCCATGCTTCAGAGAAGACTGATAGCCATTTATGTGGCACTAAGGCCATGCTTCAGAGAAGACTGATAGCCATTTATGGCACTGGCATGCTTCAGAGAAAGGCCATGCTGCTTCAGAGAAGACTGATAGCCATTTATGTGGCACTAAGGCCTGATGCTTCAGAGAAGACTGATAGCCATTTATGTGGCACTCAGAGAAACTGATAGCCATGCTTCAGAGAAGACTGATAGCCATTTATGTGGCACTAAGGCCATGCTTCAGAGAAGACTGATAGCCATTTATGTGGCACTAAGGCCATGCTTCAGAGAAGACTGATAGCCATTTATGTGGCACTAAGGCCTTGCTTCAGAGAAGACTGATAGCCATTTATGTGGCACTAAGGCCATGCTTCAGAGAAGACTGATAGCCATTTATGTGGCACTAAGGCCATGCTTCAGAGAAGACTGATAGCCATTTATGTGGCACTAAGACCATGCTTCAGAGAAGACTGATAGCCATTTATGTGGCATTAAAGCCATGCTTCAGGGGGTTATCTATTTAAACAACGCAATCCAGTGTTTTCCTTTAAGAAAATGATCTCAAACCAACCCTGAAAAAGTTTTATTTTTGTTTGTTTTTTGCCTCTGGGCATAACAATAAGATATAAAACAGAGAATTTAAACTTGACTGTAACAGGTGTAAAGGTAACACGAATATATAAGCAATGGATACAGCATAAAAGATTCAAAACATCATCCACAAAAATGACTGATAAACATCCAAACAATATGGTTACCATGGAAACAAAAATTGATACCCTCCAAGAGACCGTCAAGGAAGTATGTTTGTGAACAAAAGTAACTATTTTGATGATGTTTGTTAAAATAGTGGAGTCACCAAAACATGGCAAAACATGACTTGATGCATTGGTAGCTTTGAAATATCACAGGGGCGAGGAAAAGGCACACATATCAGAAGCAGTCGTTGTATCTCAGTTAAGGAGTTTCTTGTGTACTCCTTCCCAAACTGATAATTACTATACTGACTTCACAGCAAGCGCAAACATCTTGCGTCTACTCTCTTCGTACATGTACGCAACTGGTGTACCAGTTCCCACATTGATATCTACAATATTGACATTGACAATCTTCTACTGCTCTTTGGTGGCAAATATATTTACTTACATAATGTACATTAACACATTGGTTATTACTTCTTGTTCCATACTACCCTGGACAGGGAATACATACTATTATTGCAAGCATGAGTTATGCTTACTTATCACCAAGTCTTGTTTTACAATCAGTCATATTACAGTATTAGAGGAGAAATATGTGTATATCACTATACAGGGGTGAGTGCGTTCTTCTTCATCAAAAACAGAGTATTCAATACAAACAATATCCCTACAATGCACACTACTTTTCTACGTTTGTGCATTATAGGCACTTCAGACTTCAAGCAATGTCTGGGGGCGGTGGGGTAGCCTAGTGGTTAAAGCGTTGGCAAGCATTACAATCGGTTATTTCTATGTGAAACACATATATATATATTCTTCTTTTAAATCAGTTCTCATAACTGGAAATAACAACAATGGGCTATTTATGAGATTCGTATGCCAATCTTATAAATAACCAGTAGTCCATATGGACATGGTTGTGAGTTCAATCATAGCATGTATCATAGTGGAGCTGTCCTCCTCCTCCCCCTGGGCACCAGGTAGGTTGGACGGAAGACTTGTAGCCCCAGACCTAGTACCTGTAGAGCAGTGACAATCTACATCAGCCCTGTAATTTCTACTCTCAAGGTTGGTGGTTAGCTTGTGGTCCCAGTCATTAGAAGTGAGAGTTATAAGATTGGTTGAGTTTTATTTTATGCCACTTATTACGGAATAATTCAGCATTACTGTAGCAAGAAATGGGTTCCATGACACACATTGTACCCAAGCTGGAAAACAAACCTATGCCTTTGGCAAGATGAGAATGGTTTAACCACACACAGAACATATTGTAGAATGTGTAGACATCTACCTCAGTTTCCCTGATATCTACCCAGGTGGAGAAGCAGACCACTTGTGGCCGGAGTCATTGTATGTGTGGACATCTACCTCAGTTTCCCTGATATCTACCCAGGTGGATGGGCAGACAACTTGTGGCGGAGTCATTGTATGTGTGTACAGGTGGATGGGCAGACAACTTGTGGCGGAGTCATTGTATGTGTGGACATTTCCCTGATATCTCTACTTGTGGCCGGAGTCATTGTATGTGTGGACATCTAGCTCAGTTTCCCTGATATCTACCCAGGTGGAAGGGCAGACGTCTTATGGCCGGAGTCATTGTATGTCTTTTCCTGATACTCGGAAGGATGGGCGGAGGGCTTGTGGTGCCAGTCGTAGTAAGTATAGACAGAGGTTACAATCTACATCAGCCCTCTCATATCTACTCTGAAGGAGGGGCGGAGGGCTTGTGGCCCCAGTCGTAGTACGTGTAGACGGGGGCATATCTGTTGTCACCCTGTAGGTGCTCACTCTCCCCTTCCTCCTTGATGTCGACCTTCCCAAACACACACTCTCCATATGATGGTGGGGCTGAAACAGACAGCATTTCATAATGATAATCACAACTCCTCCAACATGGAGAGATGATAACTAAAACACACAATAGCAAGTATCTGTGCATTTGAGAGTCAGCCATCATTAGGTGCTCTTTCAATCTGCAATAGTAACTTAATCTCTTATCCATTCACTTCAGCCAGTCATCAGTATTTGTAACTGACATGATGACCAAACTCTACCAGAAATAAATTGTGATACCTAATTTGTAATTTTGCCCTGAATGAAGGCTAGAGTGTTAAAAATTCACAGAATGTTTATGTTTATCACAATTTTCTGGCTGTGGCATGTTACAAGTGTCATATTGATAGGAATCAGGGAGGTATATACAAACAGGCAAAAGAAACTCAGCATTATTTTCAATAGAAAATATCTTAAGGAAATTAACTGTACTTAATCAGCAGAATACTTCTATACTACTGGAATAAAGTAACTGTGCATTATTTGATGTTATGTCATTTCTTTTAATGCAAAAAGATAATAACATAATTTGTGGTGTTTTCCTTAATCACTGTTTAACTGTTGACAGGGTAAATATCATAATCTGTATGATTTGACTCTAGGCATCATGATATGCCCTTGAAGAGATGTGGCGTCAAAAGTCAGTTCACAAATTCAGTATCATGTGTGTCCACGATTGGCTTTGATGCAGGCTTGACAACGATGACGCATAGACAAAACTAAGCGAATAAAGAAAGCTTGGGGAATGTTGTTCCATGTCTGAACCAACGCTTGTCCCAATTCAGCTAACGTCAATTGCTGATGTTGGGCTAGACGTAAACATTGCTCCATTTCATCCCAATCATGCTCGATAGAGAAGAGATCCAGAGAAACAGATGACCAGTGGGGTATTGGAATGTTCTGGTGTTTCACAACACAATGGACATGTGGACAGGTATTATCTTGCTGAAGTGTGACGTTACATCTCTGTCCTTGAACGAATGGCTGCCCATAAACATGATAAAGCCCAATGATCTCATCCTTGTATTGCAGACCTGTCAGATTGCCATTGACAATGACAAGTTGTATCTGACCATGAGATGTGATGCTCCCCCATACCATAACGCCTTCGCCACCAAACTGTCGGCGTTAAAAAACATGTGCTTCAGTATACCGTTCACCTTGCCGTATGTACACCCTTGCCCTGCCATCTGAGCTATCCAGATGAAATCTCGACTCATCAGTAAACAAAACACAATCTCAATCTTGTCTCCATTCTCTTCCCACAGAGGTTATCCCTGTCATATCTTCCTACGTAACCTCTGTTCTAATACGGCCCTTTCATGGTGTGAGCGTTCAAGACTCGTGATTGGAGGCAATCAGATTTAGTTGTGCAATCAGCAACGTTGTTTCAAAAGTGATCATTCGCAAGGCCTCGGTAATTTCCGTATACACAATGTGCAAACGTTTCTTCTAGACAGAACTCAGTCATGTTATGGCGGATCAGTGGCGTCTCCATCGCCCTCGTTGACAACGGACAAGCTAGCCATTAAACGTCTTGTGTGTAACATCAACACAAGTCCCCGGGCAGATGGGGGATATTTGTGGCCTCACATTTGCTTGTGTTAGTCAAGTTGAATCTAAGTCGATGTAACACGTGTTCTGATTGAATAGAAAGGAGGGAGATAACTCGTGTTGCGATCTTTTGTCGGTAGGGGATTTTACGAGAACCGGGAAATATGGCCGTATTAGAACAGAGGTTCGTAGGAAGATATGATAAGTAACCTCTGTGGAAAGAGAATGTCTTGTCTCCAGTACCATAGATGCTGTCTGCACTAAGCAAGAGCTGACTGTCTGCGATGTTGGAGCAAAACTGGACATATTGCAGGCCGTCGGGGCCAGATGTTGTGCTCCCTGCGTTGGTTCCGTACAGTCCTGGAACTGAATGGACGTAAGCCAGGAATGGTCTGTGCAGTCAAACTGGCAGTCTGGAATCAATTCCTTAGATGGGTCAGCTGATTGTGGTAGTCTTGCTGACATGACCTCACACATGGATTGCAATTCTCTCGTCTTCAAATTATGTTCAAACGTCTCCATAGAGAAAAGATCGTGTTTCGATGGACACCAAAATGTCCTGCCATTTCATTTTGAGCCATTCCAGTCTCCAGCATACGACGACACAGAGATGCTGAATATCTGTAAGCCGTAGCATGACGTACGCACAGTTTAGGTTGAAATTAATGTGTTTTCTACAACTTTCAGAGATTAGAAAATAATCAACCGTTCCTCAATTTTCAATATTAGGTGTGTGAACTTCAGGTGTCCAAAAGCATGCAAAAAATAAGTAAGTTCATTGTGCACAAAGTGCATGCGTTATGCAGTTACTTTTTTCCTTTAGTATATATTCAAAATATATTTTGATATAAAACTATTTTACCATCCCATGCTTCATTGAACGAATACATTTTTACACATTACACATAATTCCTTTTCTAATAACTGTTAAAGTTCACTGTGAAGGTTAAACATATATTAATATTTAACAACATCTCTTTCAATTTTCAGTTGAATACATAAACCAACCTGGTACACATTGTTTGTGTAGCAATTGTTATGAAAGGTGTCACTCTGTCTCTCAGTTTTAGTATCTGACTAACATTGAAGCTACCTATTCCTTCCCATTGATGACCTGCAACTATGAAATAACTGGTTTCATGCAATGCATTGTGCTGCTTTCATGTTTAATGTAATTCTACTCACGTAAATTTGGCCAATCAGTTGGCATTCCTGGTGGATAGGCTGGTGGAGCTCCTGGGGGTAGAGACTCTCCTGGGGGGTAGGCTCCTGTAGGAGGTGGGTAGGCCCCTGGTTGGGGGTAAGCTCCTGCACCAGGTGGGGGGTAGGTTCCACCAGCCATTCCAGGGTTTGGCATGATGATGGGGGCCCCTACAGGAGGGGCTATTGGAGGATGCTGAGCTAGAACACTTTGCAGAGGGATGGTGCCAATTATTACTTGTAGAGGGACCTTAAGATCAGAGCTAGGTCCTGATGGAGTCACCTCAAGCTGTGAATAGCAAACATAACAGAGGTTAGTGTGTGACATGGGAGAACCCACAACAACTCTATAAAACATGCGTGACCTTCATTCTGTCAGCATAAGAAGTAACTACATTTACAAGTGTACACGGAAGACAAACATAAACTAGCACACAGTAATGTTCAAGATCATTGTTGGAGAAACTGTAATGAAGAAATTGTTGTATGATATATCCACAACAAAATGTCTCATCCCTTGTCAAACAAAAAGAGGGCAGTGACGTAAAATGAGTAACAATGTAGTTTAACCGCAGTCAGCAAATATTCAGCAACATCATGGTTTGTTGTTGAACGCCGCACTAAGCATTATTACAGCTTTATGGCGGCGGTCTGTAAATAACCGGGTCTGGGCCAGACAATCCTGTGACCAACAGCATGAGCATCGACCTATGCAATTGGGATACGATGACATGTGTCAACCAAGTCAGTGAGCCTGAGCACTCGATCCTGTTAGTCCCACCATCAAGGCTCAGGTGGAATGGTTCAGTGAATATAGAAATGTTCGTGTGAGCATCTCACCTGCACAAAGTATCTGATGTCAATGATGTTGCAGCCAGCAAGAAATGATGGTGGCACAGGAGGAATAACCAACTGGTCACCATTCCAGTAATCATGTCCGCCCTCGTCGATCTCCCCATGCTTCAGTTTGGCAATCACACGACTTGAGGTTCTTGTTTTGGTGGTAGCATGGAACATAGTCACCTGCGGCCAAGTGGTAAGCGGCAAAGGGTAAAGGAGTCCAAGTGGTAAAAAACATTCGCACATACTGTTTGAAGCTTTACCTGAAAACCTCAAAAACGATTCCGAATGCTATTTTTCGCATGATTGCTTCTGAGTGATACAGGCAATGAGTAAACAGTCGCTGAAAATAGTGTTTTCGTCAATATTCAAGGATGTCATCTTGTGAAAATATAAGCAAATAGTAACCATGTTATTAGAAACCCATAAGCGTATATACTGCAGGTCAAATATCTGTGTTTTATGCGGATTTTCATTTGTTGATAGATCAGTGTCAGCGACCAGGGAAGAGAAAATTCAAAAACCATTTTGTAAGTCCCACTGAACCCTAACAAGTAGTCATTGTCTGATTGGTTAAATCCGTTCGGCTGTCTCGCGTTTGATTGAACGGTCATAGGTTCCTCAAAGGTTAGCTGACGCGACCTTCTAGTAGATTTTGTTAGACTCAGTATAGCAGTGTAACGATAATACTGAGCCTAAGTTTACTTAGACTGATGTAAAACATGCAGCATCTAACAAAGAAGTAGACAATGTACCGCTATCTCAAATATATTAACACAATAAAATAAAACACAGAAATATATGCAATGACAATGAAAAATGCAAACAATAAACTAAACCTGACATAGTATATTGTAACCTGGAGAAACTATTTCCATATCATTATGTCCAGATATCACACTTGATAGTAGAACTATTAAACTCACCATTGTCAATTTCACAGACTGACGACTTTATTCTCCTGTTTGACTGGTTGTCAATTTCAGCCTTCAGAATGATGGCTTCCCCAGGAACATATCCTTGTCTGTCAATGATGAAGTTGGCAGAGATCGGTCCTGATGCACAGCACCAGCAGCATAATGTCTTTGAATTGGCACCTTGAGCTGGTATCTACAAGAATTCAACTCTTCTGTATTCATCAACCAACAAGTTGTTCTCCAGATTGACCAAACACTTATTTGATCATTGCAGTGTTGCTATGGTTTGATCATCGTGATCAAGGAAAGTTGCAACATGCATCCCTTAGCTGTCCACTACTGAATGTAGGTTGAACTGATAATATTTAGTTTGTGCCCCTTATGCTGCAATGAACCATATTCCAGATATCACTGCTTCATTATTTTAGGAAAACCACAAGCATTAAGCTTCAAGCCCATGATCATCAGATCCTCATAAGGTGAGGACTCCACACAACATATTGCGCCACCCAAGATAATAATACAAATAAGTTTTCAGCTGCCTCCTTGTTCGGACACAAACCAAATCACAGCATGTTTCCAAAGTCACATGTCAACTATTTTCTGTACCATAAAACAGTCACCTGTAAAGGAAACCTTGGCAAACGGTTCTTCAGTATGTCATGAGTGTGTTCATCACCATAAACTACAGTCCGTTTGAGTTAGAAACGGACCGATGAATTGCAAATTTTATCATTGTACAAAATTGCCACATAAATATAAATAGTACACATATTTATCATTTACTAATACCCAACAGCTTTCTTATATTTAAAAATTTTCCGGACTCCACCAAAAAAGTTGTTGAAGAAACTATCATCATTGAAAACGCAAAAGTTGTTATCTGTCGCGGCGGGGTGAAACCGCAGAAACGGAACAGCCACTATCTCATCGTGCACAGGATACACATGCCTGATGAAAAATGAAGTTGAATGCTGACATGAAACAGTTGATGATTAAAGTGTATGATTTTTTCCGTGCTGAAGCCGAAAGGGGGCAAACCATTTTATGCCATTAATAAATTCCGTAAGCGGGCAGCAAAAGCTTAAGGAGTATCAGCAAGGGTACTGACAAATGTTCTGGAACACAAACATTGTGAGGGTGATGCAAAGCAGGTAGGGAATTAGGTGTCAAAATCACACAAATTAAAACATTTGGACAACTTTCAAAAGAACCTTGTAAGGCAGTCTATCAACAAGCTCTATTCTGAAAACAAATACATGTCGCTGAAAATTTTATAAAAGCATTTGCAGCAAGAACACAACCTCAGAGTATCAAAGTACACACTCTGGCGACTCTTACACTCTTTGGGGTATCGTTATAAGAAAATTTCGGGAAGAATAGGTCAGTACTCTGTGAACGCCCTGATATCGTTCGCTTGAGAAATAATTTTCTCAGGGTTATAAAGAAGAAGCGCGAGGAAGGGTTCGAGCCAGTGTACAGCAGTCAGTGGGTACCCGATTGGGGTGATAAGGGGTCACGTAGAAAGCTGCCTCTAGGGAAAGGAGAGAGACTAATCATTCTCCATGCTGGTTGCTCCAGCAAAGGCTTTCTCCCAGGCTGCGACTGGGTATTCAGGGCAAAGTCCACAGATAACAGAGACTACCATTCCGAGATGAATGGTGTGGTTTTCCTCGATTGGGTTCAAAACAAGTTGGTACCAGCTCTACCAGAAAAGTCTTTTATCGTAATGGACAATGTCCCATACCACAGCGTGCAGGACCCCGACAGTAAAGCCCCGACATCGAACAGTCGAAAAGGTGATATGATATGATATCATGGCTCGACAAATTTCAGATCGCACGGTCTTCAAAGGCAACGAAGCCTCAGCTATATGAGATCATAAAAACCCACAAAGGTGAACCTTTCTACAAAGTTGACAGTTACATAAAAAGTAAGGGTCACGATATTCTGTGACTTCCACCCTATCATTGTGACCTTAACCCCATTGAAATTATATGGGGTATTGTCAAAGGAGATGTTGCCAGATCAAACACAACTTTTAGATTACGTGACGTAGAGGTTTTGGTTAAGGAATCCCTTAACAAAATCACGACTGAAACTTGGCAAAACTGTGTCAACAAGGTAGCTAACATCATTGAACAAGGTTACTGGTCTCGGGATGGCTTACAACAGGCAAATGTGGCACCACTTGTCATCCCTTTAAGTCGTGACTATGACACTACGACAGACGAGGAACCGACAGGTCTCCTGGAATAGATTTTGAGATGTCCCCCACCATGACTGGCTGTTCCGTTTCTGCGGTTTCACCCCGCCGCGACAGATAACAACTTTTGCGTTTTCAATGATGATAGTTTCTTAAACAACTTTTTTGGTGGAGTCCGGAAAATTTTCAAATATAAGAAAGCTTTTGGGTATTAGTAAATGATAAACATGTGTACTATTTATATTTATGTGGCAATTTTGTACAATGATAAAATTTGCAATTCATCGGTCCGTTTCTGACTCAAACAGACTGTAGCATGGCTCTTCACATAGTGTGTGATGAAGGAATAATGGACCAGGCATTCTTTCTCCATGGAAGTCATCCAATGTAACAGTGTAAGACAACATTCTATACCCATGACATGTATCTTTTACAGTAAAACTATTATTTCATACTTATCCTAACTCACATACTGGAGCACATGCTTCAGTCTTGCTATTATCAAAAGGCTCACACTGTTCGTCAGTTCATACAGTTGTAGAGTCAACCGGAGAAATCGTGCCAACCTTATTGTGCCTTGCAGATTGATGTAAAAAGCAACAAATATATTGTCTGATGATAAGGAACTTGTTCCTGAGCTGTTGGACTCAACAGCTTTGTAGCCTGTACTTAACATTCAGAACTAAAGTGACATCATAGCGTATGTGATAGAGACAAGATTGATTGACCAGAACACATAATCAGCACATTATTTACCAGTACAAACAAAAGAAATGAAGCGAGCTTCCATTCGTAACAATCTTGGCCTGCTTTAATTGGTTTACCATTGCATTTGGATCCCGGTTCAGATCCAGCAAACAAATCACTGTGAATGGCCTTTTTGTTTCGTGATCGAACTTCCATGGTTTATCAATGATTCCTTTCGCCGTGTATCGAACATGACCATCTTCTCCTTCAAAGGATGATGGAAGCTGTGGTGGGAGTTGAAACGCAAATGGAAAGGTGTGGCGGCCAGCGGGCAGATGGATGTCATCCCCCGACTGCTGCTTCCCTACAAAGAACAGAGATACAGAGTGCAGAGATGACAAAAGCCACTAGCCTATCCAGTGTTCTTTCAGGTGTGAATTTGCTTTTATGTTGCTTTTAGCACTTGTCGTTGATCAGGGTGAAACTTAAAAGTACAATGCTCCAAGCACTGCATAATGTCAGCTGAGACAGCAAGTTACTGCTAGACTCATGATAAACAAATTTGCATTTATATATATATCATTGTTATTTTTTCTTAGAAGTTTTATTTCATTAGATATCAATATTCCACTATTTTAATGAAGATTTCAAGCAGGCATAACCAATTTACAATTTGGCGCCTGCAGATTATTAAGGCTAGTGGGATGAAATTTGATCAGTCGATTCAATTAAACATAAAAGGAAAATATATCCCTCTTGCCCTAGTCTAGTGGACTTTTTTCGTCACTGCAAAACTTTATGAATAAATGTATATCTGAAACAGACAAGGCAGTGTAACTGGGGAAATCTGTGGAAGGGAATTGTCTATTTGGCCATTGTTGAAACATATCTGATGGTCATTACATAAGCAGCTGTTGTAAGACTTCTTGGCTGAAGAAAGCGCTGTAACTACATTTGTGTCCACAGACAATATTCATGGATCAAGAAATAAAGTTACTCCTCAATTAAAGGTCGCATGCAACGTAAAACATAACTTTGCAGATTCTGATACCTTTCGGTGTGGACTTACCGAAACAAATCATCAAAAATGCAAATTCAACTCATAAAGTTGAAAAATAACACGATGAAAAACCCATGCGAAATCGTAGTTCAAACGATTCACCAACTTTCCCCCAGCGCTTGGGGGAATTGAAGTGGTTTCAACAGCTGGGCTGCGCTCATAGCACATGCGCAGTGGAATATTCGGTGAAGGCTTTGGTGTGAGCTATTTTTCTAATGTTTTGTTGATATTTCACAGGCGCGAGCTTTTGATATGTTATTACAGTAGATTACCGATATAACTGTTTATATAATTTCATTTGTCTATTTCACCACACGTTCTTCTTACCGAGTCACTTTCTCAGTTCAATACTTAAAAGCAATGTCATTATTTAGCGTCGACAGAATTTCTAACTGTGATATAGATATGTCGTTGTCACAGACAAAACTCAAAGTCTGTTTTATTGGCACCTATGTGTCTGCCTGCCCTTCTGCTAATGACAATATTCATTACACAATTTCAATCACTGACCACATGCAATTTGAACTTAACACCTATCAGGCTATACACCATAAACAAAACGCATTGATTTATGGCCCGAGTTTGGTCTCTGTCACATTATGTTATTACACAGACAGGCAGGTGTGATACTTGTACACATGACATGTTATGATGTCTGTTGATTGCAAAATGTTAAACACAAAAAATGAGCATGTATTTACAAAACCCAACATCTCTATCTATACACACACAATGAGCCGTGAGGGCATCTGCAAATGAACCAGCCGTTACACTTGAGTGCACACCCACCCGCTCTGACTGGGTTCGGTATCCCGACTGCTTCGTTTCTTGGGCAGTAAACCAAAGTACAAAATATTGCACTTTTGATTTGCGATTGTACGCTTATAATTTTGTTTTTATGTTTTTTCATAACCAGCAATGTATATTATATGTCATGAATAAGTGATAATTGTGTTTTAATTGTTGTTTTTTTTTATATGTGACCTTTAAGGTTTTGTGTGGAATAGTAGTGTACAAAGTTGAAAAAATCAAATGTTGTGACAAAATTTATCTTAGTTCTTTAATGATATTGAAAAGTCAAGCAAATCCTTCGGGGTTTTTGCGCATTAATTCTACTTGTATAAAATACTTTTTGTGCATACAAAGAAAGTACATCCATTATTAAAGATTATGGATTATGTTTGGGACATGGATTTGACACTCTGGCTACTACTCTCTCTTGAGTAGTATCATGAAGAAATAAAGAGGAATGATATGCCTAAAGTTTTATGAGTCAAAGTTAATAGTGTTAATAATATGGTTTATGCAAATTCCTGCTTAGTTAATATACTGATTTTATATGCTGCATTATTTAACATGCCACTTATACCAAGATATTTGATCACACAATTAGTGATTGTTCTCTTTTGGCCTAGTATTTTTATTTCTACAGCATCTGTAATGGTTCTAAAGTTGGTTAGATGCTGCTCACAATATACTGAATTCTATCTGAAAACTACCAAAGTTGTTGTGGTCAATAGAGAACACACCTGTGTTGAACAAGTCATTAGCAACATGACAAATATCAGCAGCCACAAGGAATTGACATCATGACGTGCAAGTGCAACACAATTCTTCTAACAGAACAACTTCTATTAATTTGTGATGGTGGAAGAAAAAGAAACTTTGGTGATTTTGTGTCAAATTTAGGGAAACATGTTTTGTCTGAAAGTGTTACTTCAGCATGATGACTATTTCCGATCTTGTGGAGTCCAATGTCTTACGTATTTCTGATGAGGCCAAATGTTTCAAAGCACTATCAAGATAAATATTCTCTTGTAGATAATGTCAGCTTGCACATGGTTGAAGCCTTTGGCTAACTACATGATGGAACTTTCTTACTTGCAACAAATATTACTGAGTAAACAAAATCCTAAATCTGGAATATGTATGTGCATTTTACAATAACTACTATAACCACTGTCGCTAGCTGTATGCAACTATAAATCTTATGTCACTCACTATTGAATCATTTCTGGTTATTCACCCATCTAAATATTTATTTCCACCCTTTGCGAGTTGCAGTGCATTGCAATATTTTGTGTGGGGTCCTGTTACGTACATCTACCGGCCAGCAGTATGTCCTCTTTGAAGTACTTCTCACTGGCAGAGTAGTCATGAGTCACTGTCTGCTGGTTATCCCCAGAACCGGTGGTTTCAGTCTCTGACCAGTGCACATAGGCTCGGCCTTCAAATCGAATATGAATGCCTGAAAAAGATATTTATGATCATAAGAATATGGTCTTAATTTACACTTACAATTCTGGCTTCTTGCTTGACAGATTTGTATCTGGTCAATATGTTTTAATGAAACTGATAAAATAAAATATATTCTGCTACAGCTTTTGCCATGTCAAGAAAAACAAGTCAGGACAATACATATAAAGGCCACTTTCGTTTTTGTTGGACCTCTCATCAGTGAAATACAAGTCACAACTATATAGCCAGAACGTTAGTCAGAGCTAGGATGACAGAAATTGGGGAAATTCAGTCTGCGAACAATTGCTGACATTTGCTTAGTCAATAGATTAGGGACCCTTCTCTGAGCTGCTTAGGTACTATCGAAATGATATGTTCTCTTGACACAGTTCTTTAATGAAAGACATTATCATAAATATAATAAAGACGTAAGATACAGCTTATAATATATATATCTCAACATCATCACTTCATGAACTGTGACAGTAATTGTGTGATTGCAACATTGTACAGATCTGAAAGCATCACTTCATGAGCTGTGACAATAAGTGTGTGATTGCAACATTGTACAGATCTGAAAGCATCACTTCATGAGCTGTGACAATAAGTGTGTGATTGCAACATTGTACAGATCTGAAAGCATCACTACATGAGCTGTGACAATAATTGTGTAAATACAACATTGTACAGATCTGAAAGCATCACTTCATGAGCTGTGACAATAAGAGTGTGATTGCAACATTGTACAGATCTGAAAGCATCACTTCATGAGCTGTGACAATAAGTGTGTGATTGCAACATTGTACAGATCTGAAAGCATCACTTCATGAGCTGTGACAATAAGTGTGTGATTGCAACATTGTACAGATCTGAAAGCATCACTTCATGAGCTGTGACAATAAGTGTGTGATTGCAACATTGATCTGAAAGCATCACTTCATGAGATTGACAATAATTGTACATTGTACAGATCTGAAAGCATCACTTCATGAGCTGTGACAATAATTGTGTAAATACAACATTGTACAGATCTGAAAGCATCACTTCATGAGCTGTGACAATAATTGTGTAAATACAACATTGTACAGATCTGAAAGCATCACTTCATGAGCTGTGACAATAATTGTGTAAATACAACATTGTACATATCCCAACATTATTACTACAATAATCAGAGCATGGGACCTATGTTTTAATCTACTTGTCAACTCATTCAATCAAATATAGACCCATAAAGATCCAAGTTAGAATTGGTCTTCAGCAACCCATGATTATAATAAGAGACAGCTAACAGGATCGGGTGGTCAGACTCGCTGACTTGGTTGGCACATAACTCGTCAATCATAACCCTTTTTGGGGTGGCTCGCTGTACCATTAAGTAAATTCTATGTCTGTATTTTATTATATGAGGTGAGACGTAAATAAAAAATATCTGTCTGTCTGCCATCGTATCCCAAATGCGTAGATCTATGATCATGCTTTTGATCACTGGATTGTCTGGTCCAGACTCGATTATTTACAGACTGCCGCCATATAGCTGGAATATTGCTGAGTGTGATGTTAAACAACAAACAATCTGTTATAGAAGATTACCTGGTACCCCTTATCCTATAGAAACAGTCCCTTCCATCAGTTCCATCTTAAATGCACAATGGCTTTCTCATCACAACTGACTTCACTTGCATGAATACATGTCTTAACTTGCATCAATATGCTGAAGCTATGCGGAACAGGACAAGTTTTATCCCCTTTCACAACAACAAGTTATTATTTTCTGGTACAACAAGGCTATGTGATGGAACACTGATGTGCAAACTGTATGAAACTACATAGAGATTTCAAGTGTACATATCAGTATTTCATACCTCAATAAACCGAAACAACTACATAGAGATTTCAAGCGTACATATCAGTATTTCATACCTCAATAAACCGAAACAATTAAATAGAGATTTCAATAGAATTTCATACCTCAATAAACTGAAACAATTACATAGAGATTTCAAGCGTACATATCAGTATTTCATACCTCAATAAACCGAAACAATTACATAGAGATTTCAAGCTTACATATCAGTATTTCATACCTCAATAAACCGAAACAATTACATAGAGATTTCAAGCGTACATATCAGTATTTATTCAATAAACCGAAACATATTTCCTCAATCAGTAAACCTCAATGAAACAATTACATAGAGATTTCAAGCGTACATATCAGGTATTTCATACCTCAATAAACTGTACATAGAGATTTCAATATCAGTATTTCATACCTCAATAAACATAGAGAAACATTTTACCTCAATAGAGATTTCAAGTGTATTTCATACCTCAATAAATATCAGATTATACATTCAGTATTTCATACCTCCTCAATACATAATTTCAATACCGAATCAAAACTGAAACAACTACAGTCAACCCTCAATAGAATAAAAATGCCCTTCACTGATGAAGAGTTGTTTGAAAGTTTACTGAAGCTGAGAAATACTGGTGTCACCATATATTAATGATATACAAATCTCCAACTGTTTGTTTAACCTGTTGCATTACAAATAGTTGCACAAGAAAGGTCTATTCCAGACTGAGGATAGGTTTTACAGTACCTTCATTAACTATTTAAAGGCATGCAGAAGGTTAATCATTAAGTCTTGTTTTGGTTGGTTGGTTGGTTGATTTGATGTTTAATGCTGCACTCGGCAATAATCCAGTGAAAAATGGAAAAAGAGGAGATCTTAATGGCAACTTTATAGAATAAGCTGTATCTATGTACTGGATCTCCATCGACTTGTCCCTGACTTGTTGGATCTCCCATTGCCTTATGCTATCCCTCACCGACTTATCCAATCTCTCAACAACTTATCCGATCTCTCACGGACTTATTCCATCTCCCATCAACTCGTTAAAACTCCCATCGATTTGTCCCTGACTTGTTGGATCTCCCATTGCCTTATGCTATCCCTCACCGACTTATTCCATCTCCCATCAACTCGTTGAAACTCCCATTGACTTGTCCCTGCCTTGTTGGATCTCCCATTGCCTTATGCTATCCCTCACCGACTTATCCAATCTCTCAACAACTTATCCGATCTCTCACGGACTTATTCCATCTCCCATCAACTCGTTGAAACTCCCATCGACTTGTCGGATGGCTTTAAATGTGATGATGGAACCCTTAAGCCCCAAATTATTTATGGTCTTTCTGAATGAATAAACATGTGATCTGAATAAAAATGGAAGTGAGGACATCATAACAGCTGATTTTACGTATAGTTTCACATGGCTGTATGCAGCTGATGTGTCGTCCTTGACCGATACTGCTCTATAGCCACAAACGAAAACATATGAGACAGAAAAAATCTGTGATTCCACACAAATGGAAGTGATTTTGCATAAATTCAAATTAGTTGGCTTTAGAAGTAGGGACCAGAATGAACTATGAAACACAGACAATCATAGGTACACATACAGATATTTAGGGAGTAATTCTTGACATAAATTGTCAAACCTTCAGCTCTAACCACACATCAACATACATTATTATCAAAAGAAATCTGTGAATTGATCATGCATATAGTGGTTGATAAAATATTTAACAGCATGACAGTTCCAGTATTGTGCTAAAATCTATTGAACCTAATATAGCAAGTTAATCAAAAAGTACACAGACTTCATTTGACAAATGATTTATAAGAATTTCAGATAACATAGGTCTCAGGAAGTGTTTCAGACTTCCTCTGAAAGATATCGGCGAGACAAGAGCAAAACAGCACTGGACTAATTTTTCTAAAGAATAATAGACAGCCATAACTTCAATCTCCTGATTGGCTAAAGGATAAGGAATTGTTTAGGATTTAGTCTAGATTTATCAGAATATTTGTGCAATAAGGACAGATAAGAATATATGTATGAGCAATTTCTTATTTCCTATTATGAAAGGGGCATGAGGAGTTATTATGATAACAACACTATCAAGCAAGTGATGGACAGGGTATGGACTGAGAGGCATAAAAACAAAGGAAGAGTACTTATGACCACTGAAATAAGGGTCCTACATTAATAAAGACATTGTTCATCCACATATTCTTATCCTTCCTGAGTACAACAACTTCTAAACACGTCTTTAAGTGGTTACAAGGGAGATGCTGAAAATACTTGGAAAGTTCATGAAAGTGCAACTACTATCACCAATAAACATCACTTCTCACTTTTGAATCAAATCTCTTACAATAAACATACATATATGGGCTGGCAAATATTACCATTTGGTGTAATACAGATAATATGATGTCGAGACAAGATATGATATTTCTCATGATAAAAAACTCTGTGAATTTTGTATGAAAAGTCTTAATGAGTGACTCTTCTTTACAATGTTCCTCCCAACACCAGATTTGTCATAAAATGTATCCACCTCCATGTTTTGACAAACACAGTTGATAGGCTGGACATCCACCAATCCCAACTTCACTATCATTTCAACTAGATCAATCAAATTACAAAGTAGACAAACAATTTCAATACATGTACCAGCTTCTTTAGCATACATGAAAACCATATTTTAGTATACATAAAAATCACTTAGAACGTTTTGATATGAGTTCTGTTATTTCACTAAATCTGTATGCTACGAAGCCTCCATTATCAGTGTATAACTTGAATAACTAATGAAAATGTTTAAATATATATAAGGTCCCAACAGAATAAAACCCCTCCCACCAGGAAATCATTTTACTGTCCTATTAGCTACTGGGTATCACAAACTGCTAACTCGTTAAGTACTGGCAATATAAATTAGATCAAATTAATGCTTAACTAGTATTATCCTATTGTATAACATTTGCCAAATCGTATCGTTTCACTTATTGACATGCACACTTGCGTGACAATACGCATGCGTTTATATGCTCACCTTCGAGCAGACGACAGTTTCACTGAAATTGGAATCCAGAGTTCACTGATTGTAACGCCTACCGCACCCTGATCCGACTGAAACACCTTTCTCTCAACCGTGTGTGTTAGGGGATAACAATATATATCTCCCTACACCAAGCGTAACGTGTATCGCGAGTAACAAATGTACAAACCCGTAGGCGCATCGTCACACAACCATCGTTATACCTAGCTAAGATACATAGCGTTCACTGTTCGTTATACCCCGGAAGTATGGCTGAAATCCACACTATGAAAGGATTGGTCTGTGACAGAATTGTTTGACTAACAGGATTTTATTTTTCTGGATAATATTATCAAAACCCTCGTTCACATGACTGCCTTATCGACCGGGTCATGAAAAGGGAAAACGTACCCCACTCCTTCTAATCAAAAACTTGTCAGAGACATGCAGAAAGATTTACACCGTACAGAGACCATATACCGATATATGGTCTCTGACACCGTATAATACACGTAAGATAATACCTCTCATTTTCATAGTGTCCGTCAGTTCCACCGTGACATGGCCCTGTACAGCTTGGCCAGCGTAGTATACACCTTGCAGGTTGCTAAAGGACACTACAAACATGTTCAGCTTCCCCATGGTTGCGATCAAACTGGCAGCAGCATCACCAGTTCACACGCCCATCCCCAAGGTGAGATCAGATGTTATGAGAAACTGTTGCGTTTCAGGGGATGCAACTCTTCCTGTCGCAGTGGGAAATTTCTTAACAGTTGACTTGCAAGTAGTTAAGACCATTTACCATAACATTTAACGCTGAATTTATCTAAATTGGTCTACAAGTGTCGATAATTATAATTTTATTTTTTTCTTATTTCTTTTCAACTATTCAAAGCCTCATACATCAATAGAAAATGATTGAGTTGATAACTATTGTATTACTACTGTAGTTCTCAGACAACCGAGTGGTAGATTTACATTGTGTTTTGAGGTTTTTCTTAAATACGATCCAAATGTTGCTATTAAAGGTGATATGGGGTGGATACCTCTGATTGTTTGACAGTGGGTGTGTATTGTTAGATATTTTTCTCTATTTGTATAAACGTATTTTCGATTAAAGGAGTGTACACGTTTAGTGGTCTGAACAGCATGCTGGTGGTTGTGTGAAAAACTGGAATCTACGTGTGAGGGCAAAGCTGACGGAATGGGATTGAATGCAGCGAGAGGAAACTCACTTTAATAAAGAAAATAGTGTATGTGTACGCATGCTGGAAATTTGCACGGAATAGTATTTTAGTGTTGGATTGGAATGGAATGGCATGCACGTCGAGTGAGTGGTGATAAACGTACTTGTTTAAAGAGGGTGTGAAGTTATGTAAATATCCATATGCTACGTTCTTACCGCTTTGCTAGCTCTAAACTGAGATCAGCTGCGGTTTCTCTAACGCCGGAAAGTGGCTGATATACGAATATGAATGTGGATGAAAGTGTAATGAAAGGATTGAGGAGGAACGACACGTATTCCTGCATTTCCCTAGACTGTATGATGGTTTGCGTGAAAGTTGGTATGAAAAGGTGAACATATTTTACTTTTTAAATATCGCAAATATTTTATTGCCCAAACCTGTTCATTGGACTTATTCTGTATGACCAGTGATATATCCACTCATTTTACATACCTGTATTTATATTGTGATATATATGATTTGAACTATCTCGAAAACCTGAGCGGATGGCTCTCTTTTATGTATTTTAATGCGTAAATAATTTTGTTAGCCGAGACCCAAATAAGCAAGTTTTCTGTCTACATTTCTATTTGCTATTAATAAAGAATACGTTGCTTTCGTTGCAGTCTGAGCTTTTTATTCCCTTTACAAATATTCTTTTTTTTTAATGGACTTGTTTTCCTAAGCAAGTGCATGTATAGACCATCTAAAAGGCCTTTTATTAAACAGCAGCGGATCCTGGATTTTGGAGTGAGTTTAGTTTTACGCCGCACTCAGCAATATTCCAGCTATGTGGCGGCGGTCTGTAATAATCGAGTCTGGACCAGATAATCCAGTGATCAACAGCAAGAACATTGATCTTGCACATAATTCATGAAGTGCAAAGGTAAGGGGGCAATTATCCTCAGGGAAATTTATTTCGGTGGAGAAGGGGAAAGGGGGAGGATGTGCGCACCCCACAAGTACCCCTATGAATCCGCCCCTGATTAAACTATATTCTTTTGTACATAGTTAGCTGGTTCACAGACAAAGATTCTTAAGTGCCTCAAACGGTAATGTTTAAACCATACATATATAAAATGGGGATTTTCATTTAATAATATAGTGTCATCAGCATATGGACAACCTAATATAGGTAATGCCCGCTCATTTAAAAAAAAATGAAAATATAAGATCGTGCACGTGATTCACATGGGATCTATTCAGCAGTTTTTGTCACATAGGTATATTCCTATTATCCAGTTCAGACTCAGTAAGTTGCTTTATATCGCCTATGAAGATACGCTGTGCCGTGTTTAGGGGTTTCCTTGTATCTGCGTGAACATTTGGATTACAAAAACATTATCGGTCGTTCAATAGTAACTTCTTTCTAAATGAAGCTTGCGCTAATGTTAAGCGATTATTTTCTGCAAAAATAAAATACAAGAATTAATGAGGCATTGGGAATGCATTGAGAAGAAAACCTTCCCAAAACATCTGTCAAAATTAATTTGGATCAAACGGACCACCTGTAGTTTTGTATATGAGCGGGGGTTTTAAGTGCCCGTTAACCAGGATACAATGAAAATGCCGATTGAATACTAAGTGAAGGACTCCAGTATATAAAAGTACTGTAAATGATTTACAGTCGGTCTTTACATTACCACATCAGTTACTTTGTCTAACTTTTCCGTCTAACAAATAACATATAAAGCCCCACGGTGGTGAGGAGTTTCTGGTATATATTGTTATAAGCATCCAAGCATCTGGAAATGTCCGGTATGAATTTGTTTTCAGTTTTACCTTTTTATTAAATATTTTCCAAAATGCATCTGGCGATTGTTAAATTCATTTTGCAAACGATTCGGTCATTTGGTTATTTAAGTCGTGATAATGTTTGAGTTATTTTTATCCATATATTCCGTCCACAAAGTACTCACTTTCTATTCAATTAGATAATCAGGGAATTGAAATCATAGATGATTTGTCAAAACTCAAGGCATTGGAGTAATTCAACATTGAACACAAGTTAAGACGTTTGACATGGCTGTGTGTGTGTCAGTGGTAAGAAAAAGTATCCGAAAACCACGATAGCTCTACAGACAGATGGACACTTGACGCAGGTGGCGGTATTTCAGCACAGTCGTTTACCTAGTCGTAGTGGATGCCAGGAAAACCGGTGTTTACAAACATGATCAACGACCAATCAGCACCAAGACACACAATCAGCCAGGTCACATATCTCTAGTTGACACAAAGGTACTTTTCTACAGAAGTAGTGATGACTTAAAAAACAATCGTTGTTCATTGCCAACTGCTGCTTGTAGACTACAGTCTTATCATAGAATTAAGGCACTGTTTCTTGGATCGACATTCTACTGATGTAAACACGACTATCGTCAACGCCGCTGCTCCAATGGCTATGCTTCCAAAGACGTAGAACGGAACTTCATACGATCCCATGTTGTCAAACATCAAACCTGAAAGAGAACATTACCTTTGTAATCTATCTATCTATTCTATCTATCCATGCTATCTATCTATTCTATCTATATAATCTATCTATCTATCTAATATATATATATATATATATATATATATAGATTTATATATATATAAAGTGATGAGAATACCGAGCGTACAGTAGTATATATAGTTATTTATATATAGTTATATATATAGTACCGGTAGTTAGATCTGAGACTTCAAACTCCGAAGAATGCCACCAACACAATCTTTGAGTATGCTTATGTAATGGTGTATCAAACCTAACTGCTTTGTAAATGAATAGTATTGATGAATCGATGAATGTATGTATTGATGATGGAAGAATATGTATTGATGAATCTTTGAATGTATGTATTGATGAATGGATGTATTGAAGAATCTATGAGTGCATGTATTGATGAATGTATGTATTGATGAATGTATGAATGCATGTATTGATGAATGTATGAATATGTATTGATAAATTTATGAATGCATGTATTGATGAATCTTGATGAATGCATGTATTGATGAATGTATGTATTGATGAATCTATGAATGTATGTATTGATGAATCTATGAATGTATGTATTGATGAATCTATGAATGTATGTATTGATGAATCTATGAATGTATGTATTGATGAATGTATGAATGTATTGATGAATCTATGAATGTATGTATTGATGAATCTATGAATGTATGTATTGATGATGAATCTATGCATGAATCTATGAATTGATGAATCTATGAATGCATGTATTGATGAATCTATGATGTATTGTTGAATATGAATGGATGTATTGATGAATCTATGATGTGCATGTATTGATGAATGTATGTATTGATGATTGATGAATGTATGCATGATGAATGTATGTATTGATGAATTTATATGTATTGATGAATGTATTGATGAATGTATGTATTGATGAATCTATGAATGTATGTATTGATGAATGTATGTATTGATGAATCTATGAATGTATGTATAGATGAATGTATGCATTGAGGAATCTATGAATGTATGTATTGATGAATCTATGAATGTTTGTATTGGTGAATGCATGTGTTTGATGATGAATGTATGTATTGATGAATCTATGGATGTATGTATTGATGAATCTATGAATGTTTGTATTGATGAATCTATGAATGTTTGTATTGATGAAAGTATGTATTGATGAATCTATGAATGTATGTATTGATGAATCTATGAATGTATGTATTGATGAATCTATGAATGTTTGTATTGATGAATCTATGAATGTATGTATTGATGAATCTATGAATGTATTGATGAATCTATGAATGCATGTATTGATGAATCTATGAATGTATGTATTGATGAATCTATGAATGTTATGTATTGATGAATCTATGAATGTTTGTATTGATGAATCTATGAATGTATGTATTGATGAATCTATGAATGTTTGTATTGATGAATCTATGAATGTTTGTATTGATGAATCTATGAATGTTTGTATTGATGAATCTATGAATGTTTGTATTGATGAATCTATGAATGTTTGTATTTATGAATCTATGAATGTATTGATGAATCTATGAATGTATGTATTGATGAATCTATGAATGTATGTATTGATGAATGTATGTATTGATGAATCTATGAATGTATGTATTGATGAATCTATGAATGTATGTATTGATGAATCTATGAATGTTTGTATTGATGAATCTATGAATGTTTGTATTGATGATTCTATGAATGTTTTAATTGATGAATCTATGAATGTATGTATTGATGAATGTATGTATTGATGAATCTATGAATGTATGTATTGATGAATCTATGAATGTATGTATTGATGAATCTATGAATGTTTGTATTGATGAATCTATGAATGTTTGATGAATTGATGAATGTATGTATTGATGAATCTATGAATGTATGTATTGATGAATCTATGAATGTATGTATTGATGAATGATGAATGTTGATATGTATTGATGAATCTATGAATGTATGTATTGATGAATGTATGTATTGATGAATCTATGAATGTATGTATAGATGAATCTATGAATGTATGTATTGATGAATGTATGGATATGTATTGATGAATCTATGAATGTATGTATTGATGAATCTATGAATGTATGTATTGATGAATGTATGGATATGTATTGATGAATCTATGAATGTTTGTATTGATGAATCTATGAATGTATTGATGAATCTATGAATGTATGAATCTATGAATGTATGTATTGATGAATCTATGAATGTTTGTATTGATGAATCTATGAATGTTTGTATTGATGAATCTATGAATGTATGTATTGATGAATCTATGAATGTATGTATTGATGAATCTATGAATGTTTGTATTGATGAATCTATGAATGTATGTATTGATGAATCTGTGAATGTTTGTATTGATGATCTATGAATATATGTATTGATGAATCTATGAATGTATGTATTGATGAATCTATGAATGTATGTATTGATGAATGTATGTATTGATGAATCTATGAATGTATGTATTGATGAATCTATGAATGTATGTATTGATGAATGTATGGATATGTATTGATGAATCTATGAATGTATGAATATATGTATTGATGAATCTATGAATGTATGTATTGATGAATCTATGAATGTATGTATGTATTGATGAATCTATGAATGTATGTATTGATGAATGTATGGATATGTATTGATGAATCTATGAATGTATGTATTGATGAATGTTATGAATGTATGTATTGATGAATGTATGAATGTATGTATTGATGAATCTATGAATGTATGTATTGATGAATCTATGAATGTATGTATTGATGAATCTATGAATGTATGTATTGATGAATGTATGGATATGTATTGATGAATCTATGAATGTATGTATTCATGAATGTATGTATTGATGAATCTATGAATGTATGTATTGATGAATCTATGAATGTATGTATTGATGAATCTGTGAATGTTTGTATTGATGAATGTATGTATTGATGAATCTATGAATGTATGTATTGATGAATGTATGAATGTATGTATTGATGAATGTATGTATTGATGAATCTATGAATGCATGTATTGATGAATGTATGTATTGATGAATGTATGAATATGTATTGATGAATCTATGAATGTATGTATTGATGAATGTATGCATTGATGAATGTATGAATGCATGTATTGATGGATGTATGTATTGATGAATCTGTGAATGTATGTATTGCAAGCTTTCCGAGGCACTGGAAATCAATGTCATTGATGGCTGCTGATGGATGTATATGTGGAAATATAGTGTAAATGGTGTAAAATAAAAACCATAAACAGTCAAAGTTGCTTATGTCTTTTTTTATCTTCACCAGACCTCCTGCCAACTTTACCCCTCAATCCCCTAATTTACAAAAGTTGGCACAGTCGGGGCACAGCGTCTGCCACATTGCAGTTAACTGCACCTCATCCTTCTCCACCATACGCCGATTGTTAAGTATACTCAATTATATGTGCTCCTTGGTTAGTTGAAGCTGCGCTAATCGCGCTTTCAAAATGGCGTTATATATTTTACTTTGAGTGAGTGAGTGGGTTTAGTTTTACGCCGCACTCAGCAATATTCCAGATATATTGCGGTGGTCTGTAAATAATAGAGTCTGGACCAGACAATCCAGTGATCAACAGCATGAGCATCGATCTACGCATTTTGGATACGATAACATGTGCCAACCAAGTCAGCGAGCCTGACCACCCGATCCCGTTAGTCGCCTCTTACGACAAACATGGGTTACTGAAGACCAATTCTAGCCCTGATCTTCATATGTTACTTTGCAATTTTTCCATGTTAATAGCATATCCCGTGTACACGTGCACGGAGAGATATGACTGAAGCTATATTAGATATGAAATTAACTAAGTGAGTGTACATGCCCATGATATGGGTGTTACGTGTTATAAAGTCACCAGATATACAAACCTCGGTGAAACGATCCCATATAACATTCAATGACGGTAACGTCGCTTGTTTAGAATAGGATCCCTGTGTCTACTTGTGTCAATTTGCACATGAATAACGCCAACATAGCCGTGTCATAATTACCCATAACTGCCCCCACTACTGGAGTGACAGCACCATTCATCATCCCACAGAACCCGAGGCCGAACGGTAGCATTTCCTGCGAAAGGACCTCCAGTGGGACGACGGGAAGCATGCTTATCATCCCGCCCATGCCAGCCCCAGCTGCTGATATCAACACTGCCGAAACCACCCAGTCGGAGGTTGCTCCCAGAATTATCAACGCGAGGCCTGTCAACAAAGTATGATAGCAGCGGGCATTTGTTATCACCAAAGTATATTTCAATAATGTGTTAGTAATTAAAAAACGATCGACACATGACCAGCTTGAAGAACTGTATCACTGACATCGGGAGCGAAACCCACATTCGTCCTGCACTGAGTAAAGTCCTCTCACATCAAGCTGAGTCATGTTTCTATGCTCTAATTCCTGTTCATAGAAGTGAACTTAAACTCAACTCATTCTCTAATTCTTGAATTAGCACGAAAAGTCGCAGACAACGTGAAAACGATACATCTAGACTTACCATGAAGAGCCGCGGACAATGTGAATATGATGCATCTATACTTACCATGAAGAGCCGCGGACAATGTGGATATGATACATCTAGACTTACCATGAACAGCCATGGACAATGTGAATATGATGCATCTAGACTTACCATGAAGAGCCATGAACAATGTGGATATGATGCATCTAAACTTACCATGAACAGCCATGGACAATGTGGATATGATGCATCTAGACTTACCATGAAGAGCCGCGGACAATGTGGATATGATACATCTATACTTACCATGAAGAGCCATGAATGTGGATATGATGCATAGGACAATGTGGATATGATACATCTATACTTACCATGAAGAGCAACAATGGATATGATACATCTATACTTACCATGAAGAGCCGCGGACAATGTGGATATGATACATCTATACTTACCATGAAGAGCCGCGGACAATGTGGATATGATACATCTATACTTACCATGAAGAGCCGCGGACAATGTGGATATGATGCATCTATACTTACTACCATGAAGAGCCGCGGACAATGTGGATATGATACATCTATACTTACCATCTATAATGAAGAGCCGCGGTGGATATGATACATCTATACTTTACCATGAAGAGCCGCGGACAATGTGGATATACCATGATGACATGGATATGACTTACCATGAAGAGCCGCGGACAATGTGGATATGATACATCTATATTCTTACCATGAAGAGCCGCGGACAATGTGGATATGATACATCTATACTTACCATGAAGAGCCGCGGACAATGTGGATATGATACATCTATACTTACCATGAAGAGCCGCGGACAATGTGGATATGATACATCTATACTTACCATGAAGAGCCGCGGACAATGTGAATATGATGCATCTATACACCATGAAGAGCCGCGGACAATGAATATGATGCATCTATACTTACCATGAAGAGCCGCGGACAATGTGGATATGATACATCTATACTTACCATGAAGAGCCGCGGACAATGTGGATATGATACATCTATACTTACCATGAAGAGCCGCGGACAATGTGGATATGATACATCTAGACTTACCATGAAGAGCCGCGGACAATGTGAATATGATGCATCTATACTTACCATGAAGAGCCGCGGACAATGTGGATATGATACATCTATACTTACCATGAAGAGCCGCGGACAATGTGGATATGATACATCTAGACTTACCATGAAGAGCCGCGGACAATGTGGATATGATGCATCTAGACTTACCATGAAGAGCCGCGGACAATGTGGATATGATGCATCTAGACTTACCATGAAGAGCTGCGGACAATGTGAATATGATGACACTATGGAGTCCAGGTATAAGCTTCAGAATGCCACCCAAAAGCCGAGCCATTGTGTTGAATGAGTTGAAGTAAAGTATCAGTGCTAGCCCGCTTTCCTCAGAGAATCCTCTACTTTTAGTCAGATCCGATAAAATACCACTGATGTTGTTTGCTGCTCCAAATGAAAGGCATGATGTAATCACGAAGGATTTGAAGATTGGTCTCAGCATTTGCCTCCAGTTGGATTTGGAGTCTTTCCCCGTAACGTGGTCTTTAATTGGTTGGCTTTTGAAGAACTGCTGATTCCCAACACTGGATGTTATGACCAATGTTGAAAGGATGGTTTGAAGATAAAAGCAGCTGATCAACAGAAGGGTTCCTCGCAATCCGTAAACACTCTTGAGTCCAGTGATTATGTACGGGAATACAACAGTTCCTACTCCACCACTGAACATAATTCCTGCCAGTGCAATACTCCGAGTTCGGGGCTTGTTGAATGTACCTGCAACCAGTGTTGTGGTGGATATGAAGATGAAACTGTTTCCAATCCCTGAAACACATCAGATGACAAAATATTAGGAGCACCAATTCAGACAATATTTCGTGGATAAGTTGTTTGTCGTAGTAGCCTACCAGTCATAGTTAATCATTTGAGTTATTGGTCTTATCCGACCAGACGACAATAGAAAGTGTTTTTACTCGTAAAACAGATGTCCCGACCCCCAACCCCTTCTCCCAATTCAACGGTGAGACCTCAAACAATTCATCTGATTCCTTCAATTTTAAACTAACAGTTAGTCTCTGAAATGAACATATTTTACAGAAAAAAGCTCATGGAAAAAAAGATAAAATATAATGAAAAAGAGCCCTGAGACTTTCTTCATTTTCAGAAGCTGTGGAAATCTAGACTTGCCACATTTTCTAGACTTGTGTGGGCTTTCTTGGATATACATGTATATGCTTTAGGGTCTGTATGACAGACTACTTCAATTTCAAAATCTCTAAGTATGAAAATACATATTATTGATAGTATGTTATTATGTTTCTAAAGTCTTCATTTAATATTGTTATATTCAATTGAACTTAATTGCCTATCAACAAATCAACAACTCCACAGTTGTCTGAAGATGGGTGAAGTTGTTTGTACAGTTATAATTCGAACACTAACCCTACCCTTCAAAAGGCCAAGTCCAAATTTGTTGCAATTGAAACAGAAAAAAATAGAATTGAAAGAAAACTTCAAACCCAAAAAATGCACTTCTGCTTGAAATTAGTTTCACAATTTTGCTCCGGAAACGAACTTAACCCTTCAAAAAGACAAAGTCCAAATTGTTGCCATGAAAACAGAATTATTTTTTTTGAACACCCCCCCACCCAAGGCACGTCTTCATGGTATTCAGAGGCAGTATACCAATTTGGGTGAAGATTGTCCAAGTAGTTTTAGAGTTATGAACGCCGACCGACGCACAATGGCGATGGAAACTCAGCCAAAACAATATGTCTCCCGACCTTCAGGGAAAGCTCATCTCAAGTCCTGAACCCAACCTACTGCAGGATTATTGTTGAAAAACTGGTAGGTTTTGACATACTCCAACAAGAGTAGGGCATACTTGGAATTAACTTGTGAGATATTGTTGTAAGATAATTATGAACAGGTTCAACCAACGCGGGCAATATGACGCTCCGCGTCAACCAATCAACCGACAAATCTGGCATGAGGTCAAAGGTTTACATTGGCCTGTCGTTAATTCGACATCGCCAAACACAAACATTCTTATTAGCAGATACAGCCATTCCCATTAAGGAAGTGAATCGGCACTTAATCGATATTCCTTGAAAGAAACAAAATCAGAAATAACACCCTACTGCGCGTGGTACGTGCAAACTATCAGCTGGTTTGGGTGTGAGGTTTTACATACATAAACGCTCTTGCACTGGATGTCTGTCAACAAATGTCCTTTGGTGTAATACTTATAGTAGCAGCATTATATATCATCATATCCTACGTGATTTTGGAAGTGTATACATTTAGATATACTACATTGGCCACAAATATTGTATTATGGGCCTTTATACTGAATAAAATATCTATCTGTCTGTCATTTAGATATGTTTGTTGTTTAACATTGCGGTCGACAATCAGTGATGACGGCAATCGAATCTGAACCTGACAATCTGGTGATTGACACGATGAAAGTTATTCCCCACAATTGGGCTACTATGTCTTCCGTCAGCCCTGTTAAGCCAGCACAGGTTACTAAAGACCATTATAACTCGGAAATTTCACGAGACTGAATGAACTGTAACTATTTATATATTATATAAATAGCCAGTGAATTATTTCTATTTTCAGTTTGGCATCAAGAAACAATGCAGACTTGTTTGGAGTCCTTAAATACGTCCTGAATTATTTACCAGTAACAAGAATCTCTTCATGTATATTGTGAGAGAACTTTTGAATGTGAATATTTTATGTGATAACACGTCCAGACTGAATTATTTATAGGTCTCTGTCTCTATGTAGCTTATTTATAGGTCTCTGTCTCTATGTAGCTTCAATATTGCTGACGGGGGGCGTTAAACTTATTTATAGGTCTCTGTCTCTATGTACAATATTGTGACGGGGCGTTAAACATCTATGACGTCTTGCATGTCCAGTGTCTTATTTATAGGTCTCTGTCTCTATGTAGCTTCAATATTGCTGACGGGGCGTTAAACACTAACACGTGGTATCTATGACGTCTTGCATGTCCAGTGTCTTATTTATAGGTCTCTGTCTCTATGTAGCTTCAATATTGCTGACGGGGCGTTAAACACTAACACGTGGTATCTATGACGTCTTGCATGTCCAGTGTCTTATTTATAGGTCTCTGTCTCTATGTAGCTTCAATATTGCTGACGGGGCGTTAAACACTAACACGTGGTATCTATGACGTCTTGCTGACGGGGCGTTAAACACTAACAAGTGGTATCTATGACGTCTTGCATGTCCAGTGTCTTAGGAAATACATTGAAACAAATCGTACTTCATGTTATAGAACTCATTATCATGAGTTGTTGGGTGAAATATACTCTACAACATCACACAATGCAGATCAGAAGCAGGTGGAGAGCGATGTGACTCACCATTCATAACGCCAGCAGTAACTATGAGATGCGCAACGGACTGGGCGAACCAGCTTGTGAATAACCCTAATGAGCTGACCAATCCTCCAGCTGTCATCACGGTCTTCATCCCAAATATCTTGATGAAGATCCCACTCAGGAAACCTAAGAATATGAACAAAAACTAATTTGTGTATACCTCTACACCTAGTGACCATCTCAGGTTGCAGTGCCTCATGTACTTTCGTCATAGCGCCAAAATCGTTATGTGTAATGAAGCCCAGAGTGCCGTTGTAAAAAACAACCTTAGTGCTTAGGTCGTGTTAAGGAATGGAAGTTACGACCACCTTAGTGGTACAACAGCACCCTGGACCACAACCTGAAGTTTGAAACAAAATTTATAGGTAGGGAGTGCACTGTTCACGCTGCCAGATGATGTTTGTGTTATGTTATAGAAAATAGCAATATTCGTTTGGGTGACGCTGTTTGACACGTTGGGGATGCTGTAAAATGCCAACCCGAGATTGCCTAACTCATCACCCCGGACATTTTCCTGGGGAACACGTCCGGATGGACAGCCTTCCATGACATTACAGCAACGTTATGCTGCCTAAAGCATCTGAACACGGGCAACCCTGCTTCAATGTGACGCTGCGTTCCTGCATTTGCACAGAGGATTGGAGCACGATGAATCTTGAATAATGTCGTGCCGGGATTGTACGCTAATCAGACTGCCATTTACAATGCTGAACTGTGTTCTATGAGTTGCTATGCTTCCACCGCCGCTGGTGACATGAAGACGTTCTTCTGGACGCCTGCAGCCCGCTAAACCACCATCAGAACTGTCCCGAGGAAGCCGGGACTCATCTGTGGATCTAATCCGTGCCCATCATGTTGTGCTCGCCAAGCATGCAAACATCGAGCGTATCGCTGGACGTCGGGGTCAGATGTTGTGCTTTTTTAATCTCCTCCTAAAAACTTCAGACTGTGGCACTAGAACGCTTCCGTACGATAGTCTATTGCAACATACTATTGCGATATTCTATTGCGACCAACTGTTTTACTTCTTCAATTGTCTCATTTGAAGTCTTTTCCCAAATGAATTTATAGGTTATATGAAACGAAAACAAGTTGAAGTAGTTTCAGTCTTTTGACAACTGACAATAAATTTGAAACCCCGACCAAGTAAACACTTAAAATATAAACTCAATGAAGCAGCAAATCAAATAAAAAAATACAAAAGAACATAAACATTTGTCAACAGAAGTCAATTTATTACTAAACCTCCGATAGTCAGACATACTATCGATGCATCGATAGTTTTCCGTTTCTACAATCGATTTATTTCTATCGGAGACTCAACAATTGCAATCCATCGATAGTTCGATGTATCGTTACAGCCCCAGATGCCATTGTGGCTATTTAAGACATAGACACGACTGTTTACTGAAAGGTGAGGATCGTCCGTATCCTTAGTGATGAAACTTCTCTGTCAAGCATGTCCAGCTCCGCTCTGTTGATTTTAGGGATAAATATAATTGTGTGAAAACAGCCAAGGACCTTTTCAGTTATGTTAATACTCATTAAATATTACTTTTTTTTAAAGAAATAGATATCATTAAATTTTGTGTACAAAGTTCTGCAGGTTATAAATCGGTTGTGTGATGATTGACTGAGACTGGGGTCTTGCCCCACATTTATATTTATATCATGTTATAGATCGCAGTCTAATACTAGCAATATTTGCTGTTGTACAACTACTTTTAAGTTTGTGATATATACATCTGTGCATATAATAAGCACCACCCTGTATTTTTTACCAATTAATTTTGTCTGAAATTAAATTCTAAACTCTTTCCAAAAATATAACCTTTATAATTTGATAGAGCAAGCATTTAACATTTCCAAAACGAAAACATCATTGAAATTACCATGTATTGTAATTAGGATAATTGCCTATATTTAAAACAGGTGTTTTTCTGTCCTAAAACAAGTTACCTTATTTTGTGAAAGTAATAATTTATTGTTGTGTGGCCTATAAATTCGTTATTTATTGTGGATGGATGAAAGTTTGTAAACTAAGATTTAGGAATCGTTACAGTCAAACAAACTAAAAAAAGAGTAAAATTTCAAAATGCAGTAAAATTTGCTTTACAAACAAAACATACAGATATTAGCTGTAAGTATCAGTATCCGGCAAGGAGAACTGTTTATTCATTACAATAAACTCAAAATCATTTCAGTTTTTGTCAATTAGCAATCTCAATTGTTGGAAAAAAATCTGAATCTTTGACATTCGGGTTCTTCCTGAATTATGCATAATTAAAGCTTACTTGATGTGTAAATGTCATTTGGTTATATAACAGAATTGCTATTTTTAGCCAAAACTGAATTTAATTGTGTAGTTAGAGCAGGAGAGGAATAGTTATTTTGGGTAAAAATCCAGTCCCATCACATTTTCATGTACATATTTTTTCATAAAGAATAGAAAAGGTTAAGGTATTTTTAAAACTGTCAATGGATAATGCTTCTTTAACTACAGGTTGATTAAATTGATGGCTGCACCCTTACTTTTCTGTAGCATCACATCTTATTTTCAAAATAGGGTGGTGCTTAATTAAAGCAAGGGTGTATACATTAACGAAAAATGGTAACTGTGCATAACATAAAATTTAATAAAATAGGAGTTATTTGAAAAGTTAAATAACCCTAAATAAGCATGTATCAAAGCACTTTGCATGACATTTGATGTCACGTATCGCCCGTGGAACGTATATCTGGGCACAATGAACTTATTCACTTTTTGCATGCCTTTTGACACCTGAAGTTCTTACAACTGATATTGAAAACTGAAGACCGATTGATTATTCTCTAACGTTTAAATTTTGTGGAAAACACGTCAATTTCAAACTAAACTGTGTGTACGTCATGTCACGGCTTACAGAAAATCAGCGTCCAGTGGGGATGCTGGAGACTGGAATGGTTCAAAATGAAGTGGCATGACATTTTGGTGTCCATCGAACCACGGTATAATCTCTATAGAGACGTTTTCAACATTATGGCAACACGAGAAATTTTCATCGGACCGACCGTCCACGCGTGACGTCACGTCAGCAAGACAACCACATTCGGCTGACCCATCTAAGGAATCGATTCCAGACTGCGAGTTTGACTGCTCGGACCATTTCTGGCTTACGTCCAATCAGTTCCAGGGCTGTACGGAAGAGACTGAGGGAGCACAATATCCGCAATATGTCCAATTTTGTTCCAACGTCACCGACAGGTACGTCTTGCTGGATGCAGACAGCATCTACGGCACATGAGACAGGATTAGGATGGTGTTTTGTTCACTGACGAGTCGGGTTTTCTTTTGGACAGCTCAAATGGCAGGGCAAAGGGTGTACAGACGGCGATGCTGAACGGTATGCTGAAGCGTGCGTTTTTCAACGTCGACAGTTTGGTATCGAAAGCGCTATGGTATGGGCGTATCACATCACATGGTCCGACACAACTTGTCATTGTCAGTGGTAGTCTGACTGCGATTACAGAGATGTAACTTCACGCTTCAGCAGGATAATACCCGTCCACATGTCGTTTTGTGTTGACAGATTTCCTGAGACAGAAGAAAATTCCTGTATTCCCCTTGCCAGCTATTTCTTCGGATCAGTTTCCTATTGAGCATGTTTGGGATGAACTGGAGCGACGTCAAACCCAGAATCAGCTATTGACTAAGCTGAATTGGAAGAAGCGTTGGTTCAAACATGGAACATCATTCCCCAAGATTTCTCCAATCGCTTAGTGTTGTCTATGCGTCGTTGTTGTAAAACCTGCATCAACACTAATGGTGGGACACACACGATACTGAATTTGTGAACTGACCTTTGACACCACATCTCACGTGTCACGATGCCTAGTGTCAAATCATACAGATTTCGATCTTATCCTGTCAACAGTTAAACAGTGATTAAGGAAAACATCACAAATCATGTTACCGTATACCGTGAACTTTTGAAGGTGATTTAAATTTCGAGGTTTGGGGACCTCTTTGGTATTATCTTTTTGCATTAAAATATGGCATCACATCAAATAATGAACAGTTACTTTATTCCGCTAGTTTATTATTTCTGATTGCACTGTTCTTTAAAATATACATGTACTATTGTATAGCCAGTTCAAATCACAGTACAGCTGAAAATTGCTGACTCGCTCACTTACTCAATTACGTGCAGCACATCGTTATGCATTTTTGGTTAGCACACTTACCAATACCAAACGTGCATCCTATACAAAACGCTGGCACCAGAGATGTTTCTCCTCTCGTCGAATTAAATGTATCCAGTATGTCATTGTAGAGAGCCCCGAAGGCGAACGGAAATCCAAGTGCCACAAATGCGCCATAGTAGGCCCCTGTTAACACAACCAGCTTCTTCCTGTTGCCGCCATCATACTTTGTATCCGAGGGAGGAGCCTTTCTGAAAGATGTAGCCATATTGTTTCAGTCATAATCCGCATTGGTACAAATACAGGAACACGCGTCTGACATCTGCAGTAACAACTAAGCCTCTTGCAAATAATAAATATACAGATGATCAGAAAATACATCAAATATAATCAGATAGTTCATTACAGAACTCTTCAAGTCGATCTGACAATCTATCTATGGGCAATGAACGATGAGACTTCCAAAATCTCGGAACTGGAGTGTTCAGAGCAGCATATCTGATTCCTGTATCTCGAATACGAACCATTACGAGAATATCATCATGCCCTGATCAAATGCAACTGAACATGATGAAGTGAGTGGGGATCTAACAATGAGTTTGGCATATATTGCGGAGAACATACAACCCTACTACAGGCATTGAACAACCAGGGGAACCCAACTCCCGGTAAACCGATATGTCTGTCGACTTAGACATGCAAGTTAAATAAACGTTGTACATATAGATATAAATAAATTGCACACAAACAAATTATACAAAACAGAACAAACCTTGTTTCGTTCACATACCGTTGTGTATCTACACGTACACAAGACAGTGGTGAGTGGTCGTCTGCAGTGGGAACGTCGTCTTTGTTAGTCCCAGATTCAAAGCGCTCTATTTCAATCTTTGGCTGTCTTTTCTCAGTCTCAGAAGCCATTTCGCCCTTGTGGTGATCGTTTCGTATCCGCTAGACAGGTTTTTCGGCGTCAGCCGCTAACAGTTTCAACTGTATGAGCATGTGACCTATCTCACGTCATACGTGTGCCTCCTATTTTTACAAACATAGTTGGCTTGTGTTAAATTTAAAGTCGTGGTAATGCATATCTGTAAAGCTTACGGCGCGATTAAAAAGCTGCGCTTTGTGCAAGCTGAATAGAGCACGGGGGTTACTATACCTGTCGCGATCAAACTGGGTTAAGACTGTGCGTGAATGGATGCAGCGTAGCACAACATGTCTCTGTGTTCGGATGTAAGGTATGTTTACTGGAAGTACATATAGCTGTGGCTCGGGCGCTCATTCGGGACCCTTCGACTGCTAGCTTGACATATGGTGAGCCTGCTGCTAGACTTGCCTCGACATGTGTTTGTGACGAATACAGGATACGCTCGCATTTTGGCAAACACCATTACAACTGTATAGTGATGAAGAATTATGGTTATGATATAGTCACCAACATCAGCATGACCATTCAATCAATCAAAATTTGTTTACAGTACTGAAAAGACCATAGGCCTATAGTATAGTTTTACATACAGTAGCAAAGGGTGCAATAGAAATACATATACTGGACAAAAATAGTTAGGGATATATGTAAATTTTGAAATTATTAATAATGATTTATTAATTCATTGACACACTGAAAAATATCAATCATAAAAATGTAAAGATCCCTAACTTATTTTGTCCTGTATATATCGTAAATAATATCACATCTGTCTTGCAGAGGATCTGATATTCATTGCAGGGTATATATACATTGCAAGATAGTGTGTGACTGTTTGATGTTGAGATGACACGAGGGTATAGAATTTGTCTATTTGGGGGTTCAAATAGAAATATTTCTTTATGTATTCTCTTCTGATATTCGCATACAATGGACAAACAAGCAAGAAAGGGTATTCATCTTCTACTTCCTGATTTACACAATCGGTTTTCCCTTTATACCCCTAAATGCCTACCTTTTTCTATTAGAAGATCATGAGAACTACATCTGAAACGGCATTGTGCTGTTCGGAATTTCGTAACATTAATGTCAAAAGATAGTTTTATCAGTAAGAATGAATGATTTTACCTTTATCAAATCGGCACTAGATCCCATTGTCAGAAACACCTTAAATTTACAAGAGAGTCTCATAATGGTGTAACTAAGAAAACTTCAAACTTTCATACTGATATCTCCAACGGTTCCAGAGATACAGGTATGTTCCCATATGGGAACATTGGCAGGATCATCGTGAAAACGAAACAAAACTATATTTTTGCAACACATCTTTTATTTCTTTGAAATGTAGTGAACAAAACTTTCTTTAACACATAAATCGATGATGCAGGAATGTTCCGGGAACAGCTAGGTAATGAAATGGTTGTTAAACGATCACATAAATTACGATGATGAGTATATAACGCAGCTGGAATGGGTTTTCTTCCCAAAATTTCAGCGACCAGATTCATGTGGCAAGTGTTCCTGAATGTTAGTTCAGCCTTGTCAAAACTGGCCTTGAACCAGGTCATCTGGTTCTAATAGGGGATTTGGGGCGGCGGGGTAGCCTAGTGGTTAAAGCGTTCGTTCGTCACGCCGAAGACCCGGGTTCGATTCCCCACATGGGTACAATGTGTGAAACCCATTTCTGGTGTCCCCCGCCGTGATATTGCTGGAATGTTGCTTAAAACCATATTCACTCACACTCTAATATGGGATTTCAATATCCATGTTGATTCTGTGTCTGACTCCTTTGATAAATCCTTCTGTGACATCAGTCTCCTACAGCACGTGTCTGGTCCAACTCATCGATCAGGCCATACACTAGAACTAGTCATAACCATGGATAGTTGTGATATTCTGGATGCCCTTGATGTTAGTGACAAACAGATAATTGTTTGATCGGCATTCTAGAAGTTGGTGAGTCAACAATGAAACATACAACTTTATGGATGACAACTTCTGGTTTATTTGCGTTGAGCGACGTTTCGATGTAGATTCTTACATCGTTATCAAGCTAAAAGTGAGTACAACCAAATGGTGAGCAGCATATATACATGGTATGTTGTGACAAGCAGCAGATTAACATTAACAACAATGTGTAATAGAAATAACAAGTGGTACATAATTGGAAGAGGCAAGTAGGGAACTAAAAACAACAAATAGCACTAGTGATGAAGCAAATAAACAGGGGGATTAAGTAGTAACAACAAATAGACAGGCTTTGATGGTCTATATTAGTTCTTCATAGGCTGATGGGATGTAGTATCCTTGGTCACGGTTGATCAAAGGTATGTGGCGGCGGATTTCGATGGCTTCCAACAGTTTTCTTTTGTGAAGTCCTGATTATTGGTTGACAGGACTTCGAATTCGTCACACTTGATTTGATGAGTAGGGAACTTTTGCTGGTGATCTGAGAGGGCTGATTTGCTGTCTGCCTTAGCTGTACAGGCCCCGATTTCTCGAATCAAACTTAAGTCTGAGTTTTGACTTAAGTTCAAATTTTTACTCAAATTTGAGAAAATGCATTTCCCAGAATGAATTGAAATAGATATTAAACTCAAACATAGTAGACAACTTGAGTTTGGTGAATAGAATACTTAAGTATTTTGGGCTTTTTTATTAAAAAAATGCAGCTGAGTTCAAAATTCAGTTGTTTCAAATTGTCAAACTCAGTTTGAAATTTGAGTAAGAACTTAAGTTTGTTTCGAGAAATCGGGGCCGGGTTTTATGTTCTCTTATGCGGGCGTCAACGGGACGAGAGGTTTCACCTATATAAGAATCACCACATTCACAGTTAATCTTGTAAATCACTTCTTTGTGGGGTTGCTTAGTGGAGGGTGGATTACGGCCATTGGCCTGGAGAATGGTCCTGAGGGTTGGAGAGTCAGAGAAGATGGTGTCGATACCTGCTTGGTGCTTGAGAAGTCTGCTGATTTGGTGGGAGGTCTTGCCAATATAAGGAAGGGTAATTTTAATGGGGGCGGCTTCATGCTTCGTCATTTTGCGTTTGTCCTGGAGCGTGATGGAGGTGGTCCTCTTGACTAGGTTTGTGGGATACTGGTTGAGGTTGGTAAAGACACGCTGTAGGTGGTTAAGTTTATGCTCTGATCATCGCTGCTGCAGCATACCATGTACATATGCTCCTCACTATTTGGTTGTACTCACTTTTAGCTTGATAACGATGTAAGAATCTACATCGAAACGTCGCTCAACGGTTTCATTTTTTGACAAACAGATATCTGATCATTCACTTATTCAGTGTTCTGTTAAACTTACTAAACCTAAGCAAGTGAGAAAAGAAATTAGCTACAGGAAGACTTGAAATATAAATATTAGACAGTTTTCCAATGACATTGAATCTTCTGAGAAGCTTAAATTCTCTCATCAGTCCATTATCTAATTAAGGGATGCCACGGTTCCCAAAGTTTTCAAACAGGCAGTCGTCACTCCTCTCATTAAAAAGGCCAATTTAAATCCCGATGAGTAAAAAAAACTACCGGCTAGTATCTAAAATGTCACCCTGCTGGTCCTTCCTGATTTATCATCAGCCTTCGACACCCAAGACCACACCCTACTGCTTTCACACTTGGAGGAAAAACTCAGTGTTACAGGAAAGGCTCTTTCTTGGATCTGTCCGCCAGAACAGGTTGTCAAGATTGGCGAGGTCACCTCTTCCGACAGCAGTTAACGTTGGTGTTCCGCTGGGTGCAGTTCTGGGGCCTTTGCTTTTCAGCATATATCCTTCCAATAGGTGATAAAATCAGATAACAGAGTTTGATGTTTAATCTCTATGCTGACAACAATCAGATCTACATATCGACAAAGCCATCTGAATCCACCTACTGGAATCAGTCAAATTGAAGCTTGTGTGAGCAAGGTTAGATCATGGATGACTGTGAATTGTCTCAAATTAAATGACAGTAAAACGGAATGTCTACTACTTGGTTCTAAACAGAAGTTTTTGAAAGTGCCTGCAGGTCTGTTGCTTAACATTGGCTACAGCAATGTCGGAACCACTCCCTCTGCAAGAAATCTTGGAATAATATTTCAATCAAGCATGCCCCTTGAAAAAGTCAAGAACTTAGGCAAAACTAGCTTTTCCACATTCACAACATCAGCAAAATCCGCCATTGTCTTGACCATGAAACGACAAATCTTCTTATGCAGACTCTCATCACATCACGACTGGATTATTGTAACTCACTTTTCTTCCACATTCCTTCATCCCTGATCACAAAGTTACAGCGAATCCAGAATGCAGCAGCAAGGGTTGTAAAGAGCACGCCGTGAACAGAGCATATAACACCTATCATGAAGGCCCTCCAATGGCTGCCCGTGAATTTCATGATTCAGTACAAGATATTTCTTGCAGCCCAAAACTGTGTCTATGATCAATCATCGTGTCACTATCTCAGAAGCCTTGTTGGGATATACCAACCAACCCGTCCTGTCGACCATCTTCGCCTATCAATCCCAATCATGACTGACTGACTGAGTTTAATTTTACGCTGCTTTTAGCAATATTCCAGCAATATCACGGCGGGGGACACCAGACCCAATCATGAAATCACCAATGGGTGATAGAGCTTTGTCTGCCTCAGCTCCTCTACTGTGGAACGATCCACCTCTTGTCTCTTACAAACCTCATTTAAGACTTTCTTAAAGACACACCTCTTCTGAATGACCTTTTCTTATATCTCCTGTACAAATTACCACTGAGCAACCTGTATGGATAGAAGAAGTTAGGTGCTATAGAAATATATTATTATTATGTTTTTCAGATTAAAAATAGTATATAGCAAAGAGGGTTCTGGTGAACCAGTCAGGCTGGTAAGGTTTATCATCAGCTCAGGGACCTTCCCCATCCTACGTGCAGCCCAGACAGCGAATGGGACTTCTGCCAGGAAATGCTGCCTAGTCGAACCCGGGCATTCTCCTGATCTGCACCAAGAGATCAGGAGGTACCAAACCAACCGAGAATAATGGGGAGGCTGATGACAGTATACTTGGGATGCAAGCGAGACATTTCAATGCCGATATCCGCGTATTAAGCATGCTTTTCGTGAATCTTGCCAATCACATTGCTGTCAAAAGGGACAGAAAATATATTCAATAACATAAATAAATTCATTGGTTTTGCCAAGAAGGAAGATATATCATTCGAAA